ATGTCAGCGACGGACGACCCCGTGTCGGAGCCTGGGCTGAGATGGCACTTCGTCCTAGGCCCATCCTTTTCACGTGATTCCCAGGCATCCGGTTCCTGAGGGTTGGAGGTCTTTAATGTTAACCCCGGAAGCAGAACCCCTGGTTGATTTTGAGAGATGGGGGTGTCCAATTCCTTTTGGTGGTTGGATTCAGACCACTTTTGGAGGGGTTTCCACCCCCCTAATAATGGGACGGGTTTATGAATCCTGGGTCAAGATTAGTTGGTTTAATCCGTGGGGGGGTCCAGTGCACCCACAAGTGAAGATATTTGTAAGGACAGGCCCAAAGTTACTAGGTCACCCAGCAGTGCCCTTCTCTCCCCTGTTTTGGGGAGAGGGTTCCCCTACTAAAATAGACTACAGAAAAAGAGTTGGTACCCTTATTGTTGCCTTCCTACGGAGGACCTAGACAAAGTAAGAGAACTGGGTTCGAATTCACCCGATACTCGCCCCATGCCGCTCCAAATGCTGAGCCTGAGCGTCTCACCGTCCCGTTTTCTTCCAGACGGGGCTGCTGGAACACAGGGTTTTGCTTCTGACTCAGTTGTTCAGTGGCAAGCAAACAGAAAGGCAATTCCTCCAAGGCCATTTGTTTCCTCCTTTTCAGGTTCCTTCATCAAAGTGCGTTTCGATTTTCATTGGGGCGGTATGAATTGGTCCCAACCTGTTTTGGGCAGACTCCTTTGATGTCAGTCAGAACTCTTTTAAAAATCCAGAAATAAGGCAGGTTCGATGTGTTGTTTTTTTCAGGAAGGGGTGAGGAAGGCGCTCATAGGGGGATAGCTACAGTCACCATGATGAGGCTCCGTGCACTTGGGTCCCTTACGAGAGGTTTTCGGAATTGAAGTTGCAGACTTCTAGGGGTTGATTCCTTGTCCATTCTTTTCAGCCATTGTTTTTTTTTCAATAACCGGCCTTTTCCCCAGGGTTTTGGGTGGTTTGCTGGAAAGAAGGATCCCTGGAAAGAATGGAAATGGAAGTAACCCCGAGAAGAATGTTATTTTCGTTGTATGGAGCTCAAAAGGGACCCTCCAGACCAGTTTCCTCACAACCCTCTTTCAGGTATCCTTCCCTTTTGAGGAGCATGACAGGTGAGCCTCAATGAAAAACGATAAAGATAAATGGTCCCAACCACACATAGGTGCCTTCGCCGCCTCTTGAATTCGTTGCATGATAGGTAGACCATCCCAACAACGATGGGTTTTGATTGCGACTCAGGTGACGACTTTTCCAAATAGGATTGGTTCAACCTTTTTTTGCAGCCGAACAAGTGAAATTCGATCGTTTCAATGGAACCCAACAAATTGATCAACTATTGCAGTGGAAATACTGATCTGTTTTGATTGCGACTCAGGTAAGAACCCCCCAAAATTGGATGTCGCTTTTCCTTTTTGGAGCCTTAGGGATCCTCTTCGGGACCCTCTTTTGCTTCCTCCCGTGGATTTTGCTCGGAGCGCGCGACTCAGGTGATGATCCACAAAGTTGGCCCTTTGCTGATTCTAGACGATGGCCCCCGGCTGGGCCGGACCGGCGATGCGACTCGCGAGAGAGGCGAGCGAGAGTTCGGTTCGGCGCCGGATGAAGCGTCGATCCAAACCACTCCTCCACCGGAAGCCTTCGTCCCTGTTCCTCTAATAAGGTCTCCCGAAAAGAAGGCAGCACAAGCAAGCTACTATAACCTTTGAAACAGACCCTAGCCACTTCTGAAGCATTGGTTGCAGTAGCTGATGAGTTGCTTGCAGCAACCCTTGGAGGATGTGGGAAGGCAGGCGGAGGGAGCTTTGATCCGATGTTTTTCTTGTTAGGCATGCACGTTTCCGACGCAGCAGTCCAAAAAGCATCATCTTGCGAGAGAAACCATGTCTTGCCCCCTAGCCCGTAGTGAAGGTTCCTTTGCGTCGAGAAGTACGCAAATTCTGGGTTGAACCAATTCCATGTTGTTCTAAGTCACCCCAGATATACCACAACCCGTATCACCTGCGTGGCTAAAAAAGCCCGCCCACCCTCCACGCAGCACAAGGTTGTTTTTGTTTGGGGCGTCCCTTTGTGAATTAAATTCATACCAGGGCTTCCTGTGAGAAGAATCCCACACGCAACGGCGTGTATCACCTGAGTGGCAACCCAAGTATTTAACCAGTGAAAGCGGAAAGGAAGTCACAATTGCTTTAGAATCATCCAAGTAGTGGTATCTTCTGATGAATTTAGAGGACTAAACAGTATTGGTGAGATGGATGTTGCTAAAATGGACATATTCCGCCTAAACGCGAACCGCACCTGATTAGCATGGTTCCCCTCATTCAACTGGCTAGCTTGATCAAACCTTAGTCCCAAATGTGCGGTGCTCCAGCTGCAGAAGGTTTCGACCCACAATTTGAGGTGCGGATTCAATGTTTTACTAACCAGAACAAGGATTACGCGGATTGCGGATTGCGATTGGCTTTCCAGCTTGGTTTGTCTAGTTTTGGTCTTTTTCAAGGGGGTCTGCTTGGGGCCCGCTCCCCAAAAACAGGTAAGAGGTGAGAGTGGTGCTCCAGCTGCAGAAGGTTTCGACCCACAATTTGAGGTGCGGATTCAATGTTTTACTAACCAGAACAAGGATTACGCGGATTGCGGATTGCGATTGGCTTTCCAGCTTGGTTTGTCTAGTTTTGGTCTTTTTCAAGGGGGTCTGCTTGGGGCCCGCTCCCCAAAAACAGGTAAGAGGTGAGAGTGTTCGAATCCAATGAATCCGAAGTTGATAGCAAGCGAGTTGGTTTCAGGTAGCTATGAGGAGCCGAGCCACTCTCATTTGATGCTGGCAGCGCTGGATCTCTCCATGGAGACGAGCCTCGATTCGGGGAATGAGTCAAGTCTTTGTGCGTGTGTGTGGGCGCGTGTGGGCGTGCGGGCATGGTTATGTGTTTCTGTGTGTGTGTGTGTGTGCGCGTGCATGCGTGGGTGGGTCTCTGTGTATGTGTGTGTGTGTGTGTTTGTTTTCACTTAGGATACTCACCCTTTGGGCGGTCTAAAAGAGATTTCAAAGAGAAACTGGCCACCTGGAGAGGTCCCTAATTCTGAGATCCCCCACGATGTCGGACCCGCTTGTAGCTTTGGGGCCGCTTATATGGAAAGTGTGCTTCCTAATTCAGAATCCTTTGACTGTTTCGAGCCACCAACCACAAAACAAGTCGGAATGCCGCGCAAGCAATGCTCAATTTGGATTTGCAACGCTGACCTAAAGCTATGGAACATGTTGATGACTGCCTAGATGGCACACGCTTCCAGACCCCCTGGCACAAACCTACTTGGATGAACCTGCTTTGTGCAACTAGACTTTAGAGCCTCCGGCTCAGTCCGCCGACATTGTCCTCTCCCTTTTTTTTGCTCCTCTCTCCCTTGTCTCCCTTGTGTGTTCTGTTGTCCTCTCTCCCTCCCCACCCCCCCCCAAGCCTCTCTCTCCCCAATCTCCCTCTCTCGTATGTATGCATGTTTGTATGTAATGTAATGTAATGTAATGTAATGTAATGTAATGTAATGTAATGTAATGTAATGTAATGTAATGTATGTATGTATGTATGTAATGTATGTATGTAATGTAGTGTAATGTAATGTAATGTAATGTAATGTAATGTAATGTAATGTAATGTAATGTAATGTAATGTAATGTAATGTAATGTATGTATGTATGTATGTATGTATGTATGTATGTATGTAATGTATGTCTGTATGTAATGTATGTATGTATGTATGTATGTATGTAATGTATGTATGTATGTATGTATGTATGTATGTATGTATGTATGTATGTATGTATGTATGTATGATATGTATGTATGTATGTATGTATGTATGTATGTATGTATGTATGTATGTATGTATGTATGTATGTATGTATGTATGTATGTATGTATGTATGCATGTATGTATGTATGTATGTATGTATGTATGTAATGTTATGTATGTATGTATGTATGTATGTATGTATGTATGTATGTATGTATGTATGTATGTATGTATGTATGTATGGTATGTATGTAATGTAATGTAATGTAATGTAATGTAATGTAATGTAATGTAATGTAATGTAATGTAATGTAATGTAATGTAATATAATGTAATGTAATGTAATGTAATGTAATGTAATGTAATGTAATGTAATGTAATGTAATGTAATGTAATGTAATGTAATGTAATGTAATGTAATGTAATGTAATGGTATGTATGTATGTATGTATGTATGTATGTATGTATGTATGTATGTATGTATGTATGTATGTAAGTAATGTATGTAATGTATGTAATGTATGTATGTATGTATGTATGTATGTATGTATGTATGTATGTATGTATGTATGTATGTATGTATGTATGTAATGTATGTATGTATGTATGTATGTATGTATGTATGTATGTATGTATGTATGTATGTATTGTAATGTATGTATGTATGTATGTATGTATGTATGTATGTATGTATGTATGTATGTATGTAAGTAATGTATGTATGTATGTATGTATGTATGTATGTATGTATGTATGTATGTATGTATGTATGTATGTATGTATGTATGTATGTATGTATGTATGTATGGATGGATGTATGTATGTATGTATGTATGTATGTATGTATGTATGTATGTATGTATGTATGTATGTATGTATGTATGTAATGTATGTAAGTATGTATGTAATGTATGTATGTATGTATGTATGTATGTATGTATGTATGTATGTATGTATGTATGTATGTATGTATGTATGTATGGATGTATGTATGTATGTATGTATGTATGTATGTATGTATGTATGTATGTATGTATGTATGTATGTATGTATGTATGTATGTATGTATGTAAGGTATGTATGTATGTATGTATGTATGTATGTATGTATGTATGTATGTATGTATGTATGTATGTATGTATGTATGTATGTATGTATGTATGTATGTATGTATGTATGTATGTATGTATGTATGTAATGTATGTATGTATGTATGTATGTATGTATGTATGTATGTATGTATGCATGCATGCATGCATGCATGCATGCATGCATGCATGCATGCATGTAATGTAATGGAATGGAATGGAATGGAATGTATTGTAATGTAATGTAATGTAATGTAATGTAATGTATGTATGTATCTATGTATGTATGCATGTATGTAATGTCTGTCTAAGACTATGTTGACTACCCCCAAACCACTACCCCCAGAAGCCAATGAATATATACAGGGTATATAAAGGTTAGGAAAGGGTTATATAAGGGTTATACGGGGGCGCCTCAATTTGTGCATATTTGGCTGCTGCAGAAACCAGGTAATTCTGGAGCTGCGGCATGTGTTTCATCCGGGTTCGCTGCTATCAGTTTGACGTTGAAACTTGTGAACATCAACGCTTGGTTTGCGCCGGTATCTTTGTTTAAGGTGAACATCAAAGCTTTGCTTTCTTGGCAGCCAGTTTGGTTTGCTGCTTTGATCATGTCGCGTTGGAGGGACCGCCACATCCTCGGTTTTGGGGGTAGTGAGTCCCAAAACGCGCGGTTGGGGGTAGTGGATTTGACTGGGCGATTTGGGGGTAGTCACACGTCACCTGGTATGCGCGTGAAAAAGATGAATCACACCACTACCCCCAGTTTGGGGGTAGTTGGGGGCGGTAGCGCGGGGATAGTGCGGGAGTTCCGGAGTCGGTGTGGGTGGCAACAGCCCCAAAATTGCTGATCGAATACCGGGACAATCGACCACAAAAGTTCACCACTTTTAGCCACGAGGTAGACGGGCACCAGGCTAAGCCATTCTGAAGAACTGTGCTGGTAGGGACTCACCATTCTAGGGGCCACGCAGCTGCAGGCAAATAATTTCAATCATCAAGCAGTTTGAAGGGTCCGCTGGAGCACAAAATGTGGGCTTTTGGGGGTAGTGAGTTTGGTCTTAGAGTCTGTATGTATGTATGTATGTATGTATGTATGTATGTATGTATGTATGTATGTATGTATGTATGTATGTATGTATGTATGTATGTATGTATGTATGTATGTATGTATGTATGTATGTATGTATGTATGTATGTATGTAATGTAATGTAATGTAATGTAATGTAATGTAATGTAATGTATGTATGTATGTATGTATGTATGTATGTATGTAATGTATGTATGTAATGTAATGTAATGTAATGTAATGTAATGTAATGTAATGTATGTATGTATGTATGTAATGTATGTATGTATGTATGTATGTATGTATGTATGTATGTATGTATGTATGTATGTATGTATGTATGTATGTATGTATGTATGTATGTATGTATGTATGTATGTATGTATGTATGTATGTATGTATGTATGTATGTATGTATGTATGTATGTATGTATGTATGTATGTATGTATGTATGTATGTATGTATGTATGTATGTATGTATGTATGTATGTATGTATGTATGTATGTATGTATGTATGTATGTATGTATGTATGTATGTATGTATGTATGTATGTATGTATGTATGTATGTAATGTATGTAATGTATGTAATGTATGTAATGTATGTATGTATGTATGTGTAATGTCATGTAATGTATGTCATGTCATGTCATGTAATGTAATGTAATGTATGCATGTATGTATCCTTGCACTTCCCCTTTGCTCCCCAGTATTTTCCGCAAAAAGCACGGTTTTCCTGCGTTTTCGCAAAGAGGACGACCAAAAACATTGAGTTTTTCCAGATTTTCGGCAAAAGGATGCAAGAAGCCCAAGCCAGCCAAAAAGCCGGCAGGGGGAATCGAGCCTGGGACCCCTGTTTTGCGACACCGGCTCCCCGAAGACTACGTTTAGTGGAACGTCATCAAATTGCCGCGCGGTACGCGGGGGAGGGGGGGGGGGTGGCGACCGAAAAACCATGCGTATTTGACGTGTCCCGGGGGGGGACTAAGGGGGGGGTTATCCTCTATCCTCTCTTAGGTATCCAATAGTCCTCTCTTAGGTATCCAATAGTCCTCTCTTATGTATCCGACACGCCGAACAATGTCGGCGGACTATTTGCGTTCTGTGCACTACCCTGTCTTGCCCTATAGCCATTGTTGCAACATGCCAAGCGGGCTGAACATCCAGTAGGCATCCCGTGGACCTGTGTATTTAAAGTATTCGTCAAAAAAATCACTTCTGGACTCTAAAAACTTTTTGGGACGCCCATATTGGCGGTAAATGCAAATATAAAATATTTGACTGTCTAGCCAATTCAATCTGGCAGTGGGGTTCCAACAAATCCTGGTTTTCCGGCATACTTGCAATGGAAGTGGACCATTTGGATTTTCCTTGATCAAGGTCCAAAGGGTAGCCTCAACAAAAACAACCACACCCACATGGAGCCTCCCATGTCTGAGGCATCGTCTTTGGGAGTTTGTTTGGGTTCCATGCGCAGAGTGTGTCATTGTTTAGACACCGCAGAGTGGCTTCGGTTTTTCTTGACCGCCCACTTTCGGGCCAGATCATGGCTCAACCCCGAAATGGCCTTTTGGCCTTTGGGACAAGTACATGTTTCAGCACTGCACGGTTTTCCTTTGCTAGTCCCCCAGCTAGGTGCCCTTTCTCTCCCCTTTTGGTTGGGAGGGTTCCCCTACTAAAATAGAAAAATCTCGGGTACCAACTTATTCTAACCTCTCAAATCTGGAGGACCTAGGAAACCACCCCAAAAGTGTTGAGAACCCCTGTGTTCTGTTTTTTGAACCCTTTGAACCCCCACCACAGCTCATGTCCCCCAAAGCCCAGGGCGCTGAGTGCCAGCACTCCTCCGCCGGACTCCCCGGCGAGCCCCTCGCCGGGATCGCGCGAGCCCGGCGGTGCGGCGGCGCCGCCGGCGCCGCCGGGGTTGGAGTCGGAGCTGAGCGCGCGGCTCTGCGTGAAGAACACGTTCCTGGACAGGGGCTCCAAGAATATTGGATGGTGGATGGCCATGGGTCAAAATCCCGTACCTTCAGGGAACATCCCAATCCCCACTAAAATAGGTTCTAGAATGTGAGTGCACAGTGCACCTACCCCCAAAATGGGATCCCATTAGTTTTGACAACCACAGCCAAATCGAAATCTGCGAGTCTCGCGCCACCGACAAGCCATGATTTGAAACTTGAAGGTTTGTTGGTTTTTAGAAAGGGGATCGAAGCATCGGGTTTCTTAGGAGCTGCGAACTGGAAATCGCAACCATCCAAGAGTATGGCCGTGTCAGCCCTCTTTTTCGGGGGGAGCGGGGGAGCCAACGTTTGCTTTGGAAGGGAAGGCAAAAGGAGACCATTTCCATGTTTTCCAATTTTTGGCCGGAAGCTGACTTCCCTGGGTTTATTTATAGGAATTCTGCCACTCTGTTGCGCGAGAGTATGAGCGTGCCTTTCTTTTTGGGGAGCCAAAAGGAGACCGACCATTTTCTCGCTTAGAAAAAACAGACCCATGTGCCTCCCTCAGTGAGTTCCTGGACTTCAAATCTGTGCGAAGATCGTGTTAGTGGCAAATTAAAGCTTTGGACACTTTTTCTGCCAACCCACTCAGGGAGATGTTATATGTCAGGGCAATGGAACAGAGTCAGAACATATTCTGTACACATGCTGGTCAAGGAAGTAGGACGTGAATTGTCCTGGGTTTCTCTTAGGGAAAGTCTAGGAAATGGCGTCGCAGAAAATATGTTGATGTGCTGAGGTTGGCAAATTATGTGCCTTAGAGTTGGGCCGGGAACTAGGATTTGGGTTATCAAAATATTTGGGTGTTCAACTCACTAGTGAAATCCTGGAATGATGATTTTCCTGTCAATACCAACCAACAATGGTTTCCCACAACTTCTTAGGTGGTGGAGGATTTCGTCCATCCACGGTATGTCACATTGTTGTCACATTATGTCAACTAACCCCCGTGCAAGCCATAGCTGCTTGCCCCAAGAGAGCGTGTCAAGGCAGACCAAAGAAGGTAGGTCGCCCATGTGAACTTCCCACTACCCTTTCCCGTCTCGGACCCTTCATGGAGGCGTGTTGCACAATACTTGGAACCTCAGGATTTGAAAAGAGGACATAGCAGTCGTTGAGGAATACTTCTTATTGCCTGGCGCAATGGTATTAAGGTATTAACCACTTACCTGGGTAGTTGAAATCAATCCTTCCTTGTGACAGATGGAAGGGGTGTCCCTGGATCATAGATCAAGGGTCCCCTCTGCGAATTTATGGCGAATATACGGGGGGGTAAATGAAGTCCTTTGCTATCCAGTGCATATTTCCGGCTTTGGAATTGCAGAGTTTGCAGTGTATTCGCTCGCCAATTTGGTTGGTTGCGGTGGCTCCTTGAGACGACTTGGGTGTTTCCCAAAGCGGAGCACCAACTAAAATGGCACGTTTTCTTGTGGGCCCGAGCTCACAACTCGCTTCCTGAGTTCATGGACTTTTAGTCACGATTTGGGGCTTGCACCAGTTCTTCCATTTGCTGAAATGAAAGTAGTTTTTACTTTCCCCTGTTCATCCGCGGAGGAGTTTAGTGCCTCAAATGCCCAGTTTGGACATTCTTTTTCGGCCCATCCACTGGATGAGTTGACCCCTGAGGTGCCCAGTGTGGACCATTTTTTCCTTTTGCCCATCCACTGGGACGGTGAGTTTTTGACCTCAAAACCCCGCCAGGACATCGACGAGCACTCGGAGTGCGAGAGCCTGGGCCGCGCCGTAAGCGCCCCTGGCCGCGTGGACTGCGATACGCCGCGGTCCATGTTCGAGGAGGCGTCACCAGGCGCGCGGCAAGAAGTTGGAGCCGGGTGGTCGGCGGTGGTCGGCAGGGGAACCCGGTTTTGGCCTGCCTTGCCTCCGGACTCCATTGGCTTCAGGATATTGAGTTACTTTCCTTGTTGGTTTTGAAGGGAAACTATTACTACTGGCACTCTGTGTGCTTTATTTCCAGGGGGCTTAAGCGAATGGAAGCTTGGGGCAGACTTAAACCCAGGGTTTTCGCCTTTTGAATGCGCACCGGTTTTGACCGGTTTGCGCCGGGTCGCGCCGGTTCGCATCGTCAGACGGACCTGACCTTGGGAAAGTGCTGCGCCTGCCACGAAACCCGCGCAAACCCGCGCAAATCCGCCGAACCCACGCAAACCCGCGCATGAAACAAAATCTGTACTTGACCTTGCGAAAGTGCTGCGCATGCCACCAAATCTGCACCTGACCTTGAGAAAGTGCTGCAGAATTAAAGCCTTTTTTTTTTGCAAGGGAATCATGATTCGAATGATTCCCGGGTTTCTCTGCGAAATGGATTCCCCATCATTGCCCGCCTTCGTCGATCGCAGTGTGAGGGGCGGCCTTGGTGCGGCAACAACTGCAGCAGCACGCGGATCGGGCGGCCAGCGCCTGGTGCTTCGCCCAAATTCCTCGGTGTAGTTGGTTTTTTCTTTTCGGGGGAAAGGAACCCCCGAACGTCAGGTTCCATGTTAATTGGGAGGGTACCAGAGTTCCTAGACTTGGGTCACTTTTTGAGCAAACAGTTTAGTGGTAGACTCAAGCGTTTGGGTTTCAATGGTTTAAGGGTCTTGAGGGTGTTGGGTTTTCAGTTTAGGGAGCTTAGGGTTCAGGGATTTCAGGCTTAACCAGCCAACCCATCGATTTGGTGGTTTGGAGCCCAGTGGTTTGGTGTTTTTTTCGGAGGAGTTTCTGATGAACAAGTTAAGCCAGGGTTTGAAATCCCCAAATCAATCCAAACCACCAATAAAGGCTTAGCTGAGATACCCGAGTTCCTGCGCTTGAGTCACTTTTTGGGAAGACCATTTTAGTCCATGAACTCATGAAGTGAGACTTATAAAACTTATTGGGTTTGGACCAATATTGGCGCAAATAAAAAGTTTGGACTTATTTGGCCAATTCACGGAAGTGAGGCGAACTGCATCCGTTTCAGCTTTGTTTCAAGGGCAAGGTAGGTCATAACCATGCTATAAGCAGAAGAGCGGTTAGTTGACCCACTTAAATCGCTTGAACATCCAAGACACGCACACCAAAAGACCCCCAAAGATCTCACAGTTCGGGCCGCAAGTTTGGCCCATTGCAGGGTGAGGGGTTGGGAGGTTGGTGTGTGGGGCTGGATTGGGAGTCTCGGGATACTTCGACACTCAGCCCTAAGAACCTTGGTTGGGCCTTTTTGAGGCCATCTCCAATCAAGGGTCCAATTCTTCTGCTGGCAGGGAACTTCCACTTAGTGAGTCCAGTTGATGACTAAACTGATAGATTCTGATTCGCCCCTTGCACGGGAGATTTGGATCACTGGAAGCCGCCAAGAAGGACAGCATTCGGCATCCGGCAGGTGGATCTGGGGGCAATGCTCTTTGAAACTATTCGGTTTTTCTGCAAACCTTGAAAGGGCAAATCGTCTACTAGTTCTTTGCACGCTAATTCCCCACTCCGCCTCTATGAGGGTCAAAGTTGTTGGGAAATTGCGTAAACGGACTACGTTTGAAGGGATCCCTCAAAGTGCAGAAACCTTGTCCAAGGGTTCCTCTCGCGGCTGTCGCTGGGTTCTTTCATTTACGGTCATTATTTTCCAAGCTTTCCATAGTTTCCATCGAACATCTGGGGACTGCTCATTGTATCATACAAACTCATGTTGGATCACGGGGGTCAAAAGCTAAGTGGGGAATCAGGGGCTTCAGAGACCGGCTCCAACACTTCCGGTTGCAAAGCCGTTGCTTGCGTGGGATCAGGGCCACAAACCCATTTTTGATGGCTGATAAGTTGTTGAAGTGATACTGTGGATGATTGCGACATCCACGAGTCTCGCACGGCCAAAATGAAACCACGGTTCAAGCCATCATGAGGTATATATTCTAGGTCCCCCAGCTAGGTGCCCTTCTTACCGTTTCTTTTTTGGGGAGGGCTCCCCTACTAAAATAGCCTACAGAAAAATGAATACAAGTCGGGTACCAACTTATTCTAACGTCTCCACTGGAGGACCTAGTACATTTACTTTCGGGAATCAAGTCATGGCCTTTGGGTTTCTGAACGCTGATGGCGAGAAGCGTTTTGCGAATGCATTCTTGCACAGTAGTACCAGTGGGTTTTCTTTGTTGCATTGTGCTTGGATTTTAGGACTTTAGCTTTTTGCCAACTAGTGGGTTTTCCCATTAACCACTCAAAGTTAAAACAATTTTGCAGGGGAGCAGATTTCGCAACCGAGTTTTGTTTGCAAGAGGGTCCTGAGAGGGGAACGTTTGCAGTGGGTCAAAGGACGGTCACGCTGAGTGGAGGTGTTTTTAGGTTGTCGCTGGTGTGATGCCATGGGACCTTCCAACAAATCTTCCGTGACTCCCATTATTTTCAACCATTCTTCTTTTCAAACACCAGCTGTTTCTCTGGGTTTTTGTGAAAATATTCAGATCCCTGGATTCAGAATGGAGATGCAAGGTAGCCCTGGAACCTTACTTCCATTTGGTTAAGAATATTGTTATTTTCCCCCTGTTGGTTTTAAAGGGAATCCATCACTACTGGAAATATTTATATTTTTTCCTGATCATGGTTAGAAAGCATCGGCGATGAACCGCTACAGATTGGTTCGTACAACCATTCAGCCGCTTTTCGCGCACCTATAGATCCGGCCGTTTCAGGCCCCTTGCGAGGTGCGGTATGTTTTATTCGGGTGACCCCTGGCCTCTCGAAACACATGATTCTCCTTTAGCGGTCGGAACCTGTCCGCACCGGGCCCCCTCATACTTGCAAGCCAGCTTCAAGCTGGATCAGTTTTTGGGCGAACCCCCTTGAAAGTGAACACGTCATGGGAATCTGGACCATTTTTCATTTTTTGGGCGATCAACCCCCTTGAAAGTGAACACGTCATGGGAATCTGGACCATTTTTTTGGCGATCAGCCCCCTTCAACGTGGGAATGACTCCCATTGGTCTCCCAGATGTCGCGGAAAACTTTTCCCCCTCGACCCTTCAGGTCGTTAATCCCTTACGAGCCGGACACTGACAACTCTGAGCTCGCCGCCAGACATTGGGAGTTGCCGCCCGGCCTGAAATCCGGAAATCCTCGCTGGAGTCCAGGGTGGAACGCTTGAGTTCACTCACTCACCTGAGTTCCGGGACTCGGACTTGAGTCACTTTGTTTGGGGGTTGGACCGGTTTAGTTTAATGGCAACCAGAAAGTTTGGGTTCTTGATTGGACCAATCTACGGAGGTGAGTTTAGCACGGGCGCCTTAAAAAGTGAGAACGTAGTTATGGGGAAATCTTCCCCCCTAAGAATTGTAATTTGAGGGGGGGTACCCCAGTGAAATTTCATTTGTTGTTGCACTTTTGAGGCGTGGTTGTGAAACACGGAGGGAGTCTCGCCCTCAGGTTTTGTTGAGTGTGGCTGTGGCTTAACATGTGTGGACATTTTCCGCTGAACGGCCACAACTCATTCCCCGTTCCTGACACTTGTGTTTGCCCCGCTCATACAACAGGTCTACAAACCTCTACCCAAACACAGAAAACGGGGCACTGGGGCCCGCCCAAAAACTGGTGCCTCTAAAGAGAAATGGCTCAAAAAGACCAAAATTACAACGCTTCCAATTGACATATTTCAAGGGCTACCCCCCCCCCCCAAAAGAAATAAATTGCAATTTTGGGGGTCCCCCTCTCCCCCTTTAGGGACGGGAATTTATGGGGATAGCCTACTTTGGTATCAAAGGAGTGACTTCAACCGTGCCTGAATTAGTTTCTTGGTCCAATTCTCACTTGCCCAAAGCGAATCGACCTTTTGACCTGTTGGTTTCTTAGTGATCCATTTTTAGTCATCCCAACGGGTCGACCTGTTGTTTCTGGCTCCTTTGGGCAAGTGAGATTTAGGAGCATGGGGAACTTCAAAGTCCACGGGGAGGCACATGTTGACACTTCCTATGTCCAGCCAAACATCGCCGAGCCAAAGATAAAGTCCATTGAAGCATCTTTGAGAGGGTTCTCTGCAAACTAACGTGGAGTCTAAGCAAAGCTCGGTCTTGGAGGAAGCTGCTTTTGGGACATTGGCGCCAGTTTGGGGGTCCTGGAAATCCGTAGAGAGTACCCGGAAGTTTGTAACTTCAGTTCATGCCGGGCGGCGGGTGGTATAGTTAGGGCCACGTTCAGATTCAGGTGGATTCGGGTGGCGGGTGGGAGTGAGATGGTTTCCGCTTGTTGATACCAAGTACCAAGGATTGTTTTCCCTGAGTCATCGCGGTGGGCAAACTCCACAGACTGGGCACAACTCAACTCCTGCCACAAGTAACCTTTTATTGTCAAGCCAACTTAAGGCAAGATAACTTGATTGCAAAAGAGCGGGAGAGAGCCAGCGAGAGAGAGAGACAGAGAGAAAGAGAGAGAGAGAGAGAGCTCACTCTACTTTGTCGGAGTTAGCAAGTATTGTCTGCAAGAGACCGCTTCAAGGAGTAAATCAACGAGGGAAGTTGTCTTGATGCTCCAACATGTCCCCCAACATCATCACAACCCCTCCGAGGCAGCCTTTAGCCCATATTTGCGCAATGTTTAGTTTACCCCAGAACCCGATTCCAGTGCAAGGGCGTAGAAAGTACCAAACAAAAATCCGAATGGGAGGGATTTCTCCTGCCAGATTCCTATTAAGCAAGTGCCAGATGTGGAAAAAGACGCTTTTTGTGGGGATGCCAAGCTGGGCGCCGCAAGCAGCCGAGGTTGCAGTGCTCAGCGGCGCCTTGGAGTGAGAGTTTGGGCGTTTTCGGCGATCGTCCAGCTTCCCTCTTGGTGGTGTGGAGCCGGGTGGCTTGGGATTTGAGCCCCTTCTTGTGGACGGTGAGTGGGAGGCCCCTCAAACCGAACCAATCCAAACCAATGAGAGGGAAGCTGAGCCAGGTGGACAAAAGTTTGCCTTGTGCCCGCACTCGCCACTAAAACTCGCCAATCACATGGAGCTTCCGGGCGCGTGTGTGCTTCCACAACAGAACGAGCTATGGGATGAATTCACCCAGGAATTTTCGAGGCGTCGCAAGTTACATAGGCTGGTTCCAAAATTTTGGGGTTGAGTTGGCACACTTTAGGATTGGTAGTTTGGAGTGGTGGTTTGGGGATTTGCACACCTTCTTGTAGAGGGTAGATTCGGAACCGCCCAAATGCAAATTTCCAAACAAGCAATCCGAACCAACCCCCACCTCCCCCAACGACTGTTCAAGTGTCCAAATCCCGAAGTGAGGTCCACAAGACAGTCATTGGGTGCTTGGTTACCCTTTCAAAGAAAAGAAGCAGGTACCGGGCCTTGACATCACGCGGTCCCAGTTGATCGGGGCCTGAGACCTGGACCAAACACCAACCACATGACGACTAGCCTTGCCTTTTTGGTCGCCTTATTTGGTCAATTTGGACATATTTGCTAGAACTATTCGGTGGTTTCAGGCCGGTTCTGGTCATAGAGCTTGCCAACCCGGCACCCAGGCAAGGACCAGGCTAAAAGCGCTTTGCCGTCGTTGGGAGCGGGGGCTCTTGTCTGAGGCCAAGGGTAATCCTGGCAGCACCATAGCGGAGGCGATGCGCTCGCTCTTCGCGGCCCGACGAAGAAGTTGCTAGGTCCCCCAGCTAGGTGCCCTTCTCACCCTTTCTTTTTTGGTTGGGAGGGTTCCCCTACTAGAATACACTACCGAAAAAATCGGGTACCCTTATTCTAACCTCTCTACTGGAGGACCTAGGTTGTTTGTTCCCCAGACAGCTGAAACCTATAGGCTTGCTGGTGCGATAGGCAGGGAATGATGAAATGAACCTGGGGATTTCCGAAGAAACGAAACCACCAGCTGGATGGTTGAAAGGCGTCATTTCCGCATTCCCTGCCTATCGCACCAGCAAGCTGTAGGGGTTCTAACTTCTGATGAGGGGAGGATGATGGAACGAGCAGCGTGCAATTGTTCGACGAGTTTTTCGCTATCTGGAAACCATGCAGGTGTATTTAGTTTGCGGCTGACAAGATCTCGTCAGCTCCTCTTGGGGGGGACACTCCTTGAGCTTGGGGGGTAAATCAGAAGTTTGTCGACTTCTTTTGGCCAGTCCACTCAGGAGAGTCGTGTACTTTACCTTTCTTGGCATGGTTTCGGTTGCGTTAGTCCTTGATCTTGAAAGGCTTCTTCTGTTCATAGCCGGGCTGCAAAAGAAGAATGATCGCTGACATGCTATGGGTTGGGTTTGTGTTGTTTCAAGGAAGCCCCTTCCTTTTCTTCCATTTGCTTCAGAATATGTTTTATTCTCCCCTGTTGGTTTTAAAAGAAATCTATCACTACTGGAAACATGTCTATTTTTCCCAGGGGGCGAAGAAGCAAATGGAGGTTTTGAGTTGCCTTCCTTTCCCCTTTCGACCTGTTGCCGGGGGGTCAAAGTCCCCAGTCGGGGATGGTCGATCAACCCTTCATGCATCTGGGCGTGGATTCGTCCGTGCGTCCGTCTGAAGTTTTTTGCAAGTTGGGCGTACTCTACTAGGTCCCCCAGTAGTGCCCTTTCTCGCCGTTTATTTTTTGGGGGAGGGTGCCCCTAAAATAGACTACAGAAAGAAGTGGGTACCCTTATTCTAACCTCTCGACTGGATGACCTAGTCTACACCTTTCTTTTTTTTGGGGGGAGGATTGTACTAGGGTCATTCATCACCCCGCTGATTCCATCCACCTGGCGGGCTTTGCAAGTACCAAGGACATCCCGCCACAGCCCAGCCGCTTCGGCCGTGCGGCCTCTGGGCAAAGAGGGCTGCAGTTGCGTTTTGTTTGTTTTTTGTGGAAGACAGTTTTAGTGGTTCAGAGCAAGCTTGGACCTTTTTGTTGGCCAGTTTGCTTGGGATGTGAGGTCGCTGTTTCTGCCTTCAAACAATGTCCAGTTTTGCAGTGCACCATGTAAATCGTATCTTTTGATGGGATCTCCACTAAAAATGATGAGCTGCTACGAACTGCACTCCCCCCAAGCCAATAGCTGGTTCGGAGGTGTGGAGATGTGGGGGTTGTGTGGTCGAACCCCATCTGCCGTTTACAAGGAGGGGTCTCAAGCCGCAACCACCAAATCAATGCATCAATTGTGGATTGCCTGAAAACACTACCCCGAGGGAACAATGAGGTAAAAACTCTTTAACAAATACTACTGTGATGTGTTTTTTTTTTTAAATCCCAGCACCCCCCAAAGGTAGCGGTTTGGGGGCAGAACATCCTAGATTCTACAGGACATCTGCCCAAAGCCCTATGTTATTTGTATGCTTATGCTTGGCGATTTTTACCGTAGAACTTCCTCTTGGTTTCTTGGAGGTGCAGAGACCTGCAGCAGCGGAGTGCCAAGGTTGAGTGGCAATGCGGGCCCTACAAGATCCTCTTGGGCTGCGACTTGGTCGTGATGCGAAGCGAGGACGCTCGGCCAAAACAGGGAGCAACAGCTGAGGTTGGGCCGTAGGGTTCCCTTTTCGGATCCCCTCCAAAAGCCTACAAGCAGATTATCGACATGGGTCGAGGCTGCTGTGGTCGCCATTTTCACAAGTTGGAGATTCCTGATTTGGGTCCTACAACACTTAGTTAAGGCCCCCTCTTGATGCAATGCAAATGTGGGTGTTTTTGTTGAGGGTACCTTTTTGGGTCGTTTAGAGATGTCAGCCATAAGAAATCCGGGTGCGAAGCATGATGCTCCATCGGACTTTTGACCATGGCACGCCGGGGTTGTTCAAGGTAATTCTAGCCTCATACCAGACGGTACTGAAATGGATCTTCGGCCAAGTTTCAGCTATTGTAACCTGCTTGCAAGTGTTTTGTGGGGTTGGCCCTTTGAGTGGGTCATATCCCAACTGGCCAGGCACTGCCGCACATCCACGTAGTGTTGTTGATCCTATTTGCAGGGGTGTTGCACTACGGATTGCGGTTGATGATCTAGATATTGCAAGCACGGGAAGAAGGAAAACCGCAAACGTATAATGTTTACCACGGGTTTGTGGTTGAGTACACTTGCAACATTTCGGGCATACGCCGTACCTCCAAGCCTTTAAAAGAACCGTCCCCTTTTGGGGATCCCTTGGTTCATTCCCACAATATTGCGGATTTCCTTGTTCGCTTTGCTGGCAACGGGTTTGCTTATTCACTTGCAACACGGGGCCGTACTAGCCTCTAAGCCGTACCCACCGTACTTGTATTTCCCCCTCTTGGTTTCAAAAAGGGCACCTGTCACTATTGGACATCCTGTGGGTGGACGAAATCCTGCACCACCTAAGAAACCATGGTTGAAACCAACACATGTGTTGGTATGTACAGGGGAAGCAACTCATTCCCTTGGGTTTCTTAGGTGGTGCGAGAAGTGGATGGTGTTTTTATTCGGGGACGCGGAAGCAAATGGACCTGATTCTTTTCCGAGGAGAAGTGCGACGGTAGTTTCGCCTCCTTCAAGATGCTCAACGGTCTGAACGGCTTACCCTCCAAGACGGAGCGGTTGGACGTCTACCTGGAGAACATGATGTGCGACATCAGCAAGGAGGGGTTGAGAGGAACCAAACGATTGCCGGAGCGCCGCTGATTGGACCATTAGAAGAGGACTATATCCATTTTTCTGAAATGATTTGAAGGGTGGGTTTTGACCCCCACTGTGTAAGGGAATTTCTTGCTTCTCTGGGGGGTTACGGCCCTGGCAAGGACGGGTTGAGAGGAACCCAACGAGTGTTCCAGCAAAGACACGGGGGCGTGGACAATTAGAATCCAATTTTCAGAAAATATTTTTTTCAGGGGCTCTCTCGGGGTTCATCACTGTGATACAAGGGAGTCTTCCAGTTTTTCCTTAGTTAGTCTTTGGGAAGCCCTTTTTGGGACACCAAATTCAATCCACGCACTTTGAGGGTTCCTTTGTTCTGAGACAAAGCCATGCAGGTATTCTGCTTTATTCTCCTAACAGATCGGGGGCTCCTTTCAGCGCTTTCAGATTGCCCCTAATTGGTTTGGTTCGGTTTGGTGGTTTGGTTTAGTGGTTTGGAGAACCACAAATTCACCAATTCGGGGGCCTGGAGATTCATTCTCCATGAATTTCCTGGTAGTTCTCGTCTTTAACTTGCTTTTCCTAAATATCGAGGTTTCGTTCGTGAAGTCGCCCAAAACTACTAAAGCTCCCATATGTTTGTGAAATCGCAAAATTGGGCCCTTTTCACGTTTTCCCCGCCCGGAATTGCCCGCAAAACGCCGGCAACACGCCCGCACACGCCCACAAAACCCCGCAAACGCCCGCAAATCAGGAAGACCCCCAAAAAAGTGCAAAATGCACCAAAGAAAAATTGGAAAGCCCAGACAATCGGTCGATCTCGTCATCTCGTCTCTCGGCCGTGGCTACCAAAACGGACACAAACCACACAAAGATCAGCCCCTGAAGATTCATGCTCCGGCCTCTTCCTAGGCGTTTTGGTTTCCTGGTAGTTTTGGGCATGTTCGACGTTATGAATGGGCGACCCGAACCCGAACAACTTTTTACCAACTCATGGGTGTTCCCATGAAACCACTAAAAGTTCAACCTTTAGCAGGGGAGCAGAAAGCAACCTCTTTTTTTATGTCCATTTCACTCGGTTCCCAGCCATTAAGTACCCTCAAGAAAGGACATACCCCTGTAAGGACCTTGTGGAAACAAATGGCTTTCTTCAAAGATGTCGACACAGGCCTGTTTTCTACCTGGTGGATTTATGGCCATCCGGTTCCTTGTGTTTTTAGCAGTTTCCACTACACCACTTAAAGTGTTCGACTTTGAGCAGGGGAGCCGGGAACAGCTCAGGTTGACTGAAGCAGAACCGATGCAACGCAAAAAGGTAGGCGGAGATTTGTGTTCCGAAGGCTCGTGAACCACTAAACCCTCCAATCACCCACCATGTTGATATACTTTTCAAAGGCGAGTTCAATTACCCTCTTCTGTCTGTCTGGTCCATGCCCCACCCCAAAAGAACGGGTTTTCAGCCAAAGCCCCCTCTGCCAGGCAGTGTGGGGGTGTCCCCAGGGGGATTCCACCACTTGGCGCGTGTTCAACACCTCGGACCTGCCCAACCCAGGCGCAGAGCTTTTGTCCCTCGCGCGGCCAAAGCTTTCGGCCAGTTGCTTTGGGGCTACTCTTGGCAACATCTGAGGGCAGTATCTCTAGCCCTTGCTGACCTTGCCTGCTTTCTGGCCTCTTAGTGTTTAGTGGGGATTTCCATGTAACCTTCAGGGGATCTGACAGCCCAGTAGCATGATAATAGAAGATTCGACTCCTAGGTTTAGGGTCGAACATTCACCAATGATGGCCCAAAGAATTGAAAACCCGTCACTCAGGTCAGTAGAGCATCATAGAAACTTTTTGGACGGTCTGAACCTGCCGCTCAGGCACGAGAGCACCAGAAAGGAGGGAGACGTTTGGGGCGGCAAATTAAGTCTGTGTTGTTGTTTTTTTTTGGGGGGGTTGGAAATAAGGTGGTTCACAGAATCCTCCCTCTTTGCCACCTCTTCAAAATCCAAGTAATGTGTTTCATCAAGGGGGGGTATGGAAGATGAGCTTTGTTAATAGGTGGTAAACACTCCGTCACTGGATCTTGGCGGGAAGGTTTTTGGGGTGGAAGAGGGTCAACTTCGAGTGTGGAATCGTGGAATCCGGCGTGATGCAGTCATAGGTAGTAAACCGCTTTGGCATTGCCGTGTTGCAGAAATGGGTCACTTTCACCCACAAGGCCTCATTCAACAACTTAGCTTTTTGTCCCGATTTCTGGAGGGATGGGAAATCGACTCTCGCCTTGCTGCCGAACCTCACTGGGTGGGACCCCTGTTTCTAGTTACAGTCCCTTTACCTTTGATTTCCTTTTGGCTTGTCTTGGGTTTGTACTCGATTTGGTTTCCGATTGAATTGCAGACAGTTCGGTTCCTTGGGATACGCACGGGCTTAGAATGGACTCGGCAGCTGAGTCACAATCAATACCCAGTGAAGCTTAGTGAGAGTCCCAACCATTGCATGCGGATCTCGCAACATCCCAATATATCATATATTAAGATCAATATTAATATATATATATATATAGATATATACATATATATATATATATAGGTGCATTCTTTACATGGGTTTGGGTCGACCGACCCCTGGCTCAACTGGGTTCCAGTAGCATCGATCCGGAGGCGAGGGTGGAGACTTCGATGCCAAGCGCGTGCACGAGCAGTCGCAGCAGCTGCTCCATTTCCTCCGACAGCGCCTCGTTTCGACTCGTTTTGGGCGATGGCTCGGCAAAATACTGTGGATGGACTCTCCTTTGTACCCATCATTTTGGGGCCGGAAAGATGCTTAAAACAAGGAACGCGTCCGCAGTGAAACATTTGTGTAAACATATAGACCCCGTGCGCTTTCAAAGTGACACCCAAAGAAGCTTTCGCTATTTTGGTTTCAACATGTGTGGGGTTGAATTGCCCAACCCTGGACTCAACCCCTGGCTCAAAATCGAGGACTCTTTCTTTTCATTTTTTGGGACACCAAAAGGAAACGAACCATTTTTGTTCTTGCTGGTGCAATGGGTAGGGAATGACCGAGCCCGGGTGTTGTTTGAATGAACCGATTGGAGCCAAATCGGATGGATCGATTTTCTCGGATTCATTCCATTTCTCATTCCCTGCCTATCAAGAGCAACCTAGGGATTTCCGAGTAAAGGAAGCCAAATCGGATGGATGGTTTTTCTTGGTCTCTCCAATCCTCATTCCAATTCGCATCTATCGAACCAGGCAGTGTTTTCCCTGCCGCCTGCCGATTTTTGTTCCGAGGAGATGCCGGCGTGAGGGCGGCACCTACTGGCTCTTCCGCGAGCAGTGACCTGGCCTTTTTGGAGATTCAGGTTACCCGTCCTTGGCGGCTCCCAGCCATCCCCTTAGCTTTTTAGCCTTCTAGAGTTTAGTGGTAGTTTCCATTTAAACCACTAGAAGTTAAACTTTTAACCGGGGATTTGAGGGCTGCCCAGCGTCAGGGTGGTGGTTTGGATTCGGATTTGAACCCTGGTTATTGTAGAGGGTAGATGGGGTTTACCCCTCCGAAAAACAACAAACCACCAATCCAAGTCACCAAGTGGACAGAAGCTGAAGGGTTGTGGTTGGTCATTCGGAGTTTGTCCCCCGCTGTGATACTTGTGGGAATCCCCCCCTTTACATGGAGGGGTTTGTCTTTGGGGTTAGGCCCTTTCTGTTGTAGAAGTGAATTCCATTTCCCCCACTTTCGGTTGACATACCCACTTCCCCTCAAAGACGTGGGGGGCCAATTTGTGGGAGTGAGTGGTGAATATCCCGAATTGAGTCCCTCAGCCATCCTCAGCAAAAATCAAGTTAGCTGGGCATCAAGCTTCAATGAGTAGATTAGGATAGCCGCCCATGTCATGGCGTTGGATAGACCACTTTGGTACCAGTTTGTGATTGTGACCAACTTAGAAGGTGTGGACCACGTCCAGTTGGGATGTGGACCGCATGTAGTCCTTCCTTCCATTCAGGCCAACCAGGTTTGGGCTTTGGTGTTCCCCTATGCTTCACCCATTGGGCGTCTGTCGTTTTAATTGGGTACTCCTTGTGTTGGGTGTACCCTATTTTGACCCAACACCCCAAGTACCCAACACAGGGTTTACCCCATGTTCCAAACGTGGCGATCGTTTCAATGGAATCCAGTGAATTGCAACCGCCTTCCTATTGGCTTCCATTCACCTGGGCAAGCCATTGTCTTCCATTTGCTTAAGAATATGTGGTATTGTCCCTCTTGGTTTTACAGGGAATCTATGGCTACTGGAAATTATTTTTTCCAGGGGACGGAAACGCAAATGGAGGTAATTGCTTATTTACTCAATGGCAAACCAACAGACAACTGGGACGAAGAAGTTCAAATTGAATCATTTTGAGGTTACCCTCCAGTGGACGGACGAAACATCCTACACTACCTATAAGAAACCACAAGTTGAAACCACAACACTATTTACGTTGAATCGTATCATTCCCTTGGGTAAAACGTGCGTCACCCCCGGTTCCCATGGGGCTCCTCGTCTCGTCTCGCCTCGAGCCACGCGCTCGGCGCTCGGCGCTCGGCGCTCTCGAGGAACTCCTCGGCGGCGGAGCTGTTCGATCTCAGCTCGATGGAGGCCCAGGAGAGCGACGCCTCGGCCTTCAGGACGATTTGGATGTCGGTGGCGGTTTCGCTTGGCGGTGGCGGTGTCGGTTTCGGTTTCGCCTGTCCGCGGGAAGCGCGAGAGGCGTTTTTTTTTTCCTCGTTGGTTTTTGTGGTTTGTGAGGGAAGGGCCAACCATTTTCTTCTTTTTTTTGGGGGGGTTGAAGGAAACCCCAAAGGGGAAAACCACCATTCGGGGGTTCCTCTAAAAGGGTTTGGGCGGTTTCGCTCCGCTCCGGATTTGGGTGGCTGGTAAGATAGGTCGGGAATGACCGAGTCCGGGTGTTGGGAATGAACCGGTGTTGGGGATTCCCAAGTAAAGGAAACCGAATCGGATGGATGGTTTACCGGGGAAAGCCGGAGGGGCGGGGGGTCGCTTTTTGCTTGACCCTGAAATTTGTGGTTTCCCTGGGCCAAGTCTTTCCCTTTTATGTCTGATTCTCCGAATTTCACCCAAGAACACACTTTCATAAAACTTGCATAGGGAATGACCGAGCCTGGGTGTTCGCTTCGTTGGCTCGTTTGATTGGTAGGTGTTGAAGGGAAACCAGTTTTGGGGGGGGGTCCCCGAACAAACGACACAGGACGTGGGTAAGAAACGCATATCGCCAACCAGCCGCTGTCCATTTACCCACACGTGCTTGCTTGCTTGCTTGCTTGCTTGTTTGCTTGTTTGCTTGTTTGCTTGTTTGCTTGTTTATTTATTTTTTGTTTGTTTGTTTGTTTGTTTGTTTGTTTGTTTGTTGGTGTTTGTTTGTGTTTGTGTGCTTGTTAGTGTATTGGGGGTGTGGACCAATGCGTGTTGCGCTGTTGTCCTGTCTGTCCATCTGTCTTATTGTTGATTTGCATGCGCATCCATTAGTGCTTGGGTCAGGTTGTGTCTTTGGGTCTTGTTGTTTGGTTGGTTTATAGTTAGTGTTGGTTGTCATGTGATTGCTCATTGTTCCAGCATCATGCCAACATATGTTTTTGGACTCTGGAATGCCTTTGCAAGGAATCCGAGGATATCATTCCCCAAGAGCGACAGCTATGGGTCAGTTCCGTCAAGTGAGGGGTGAAGGTGACGTTGGGAAGTGATCTTTCTCAGAGGGGTCTGAAATGGATGAATTCCCCAGATGATGTTTGCATCTTTGCATGCTTGCCTCGTTCTGTTCCTTGTTTGTGGGCTGCAAACAAAAGAATATCGTTGCTAGTTTACGAACATCTTACTCAGAGGGGGTCCGGCATGGATCACTCTCCCACGGCAAGAACGAAAAGGGCTGAGACCAAAACCTGGTTGGTCCATGTTTGGCTGCGAAAAAGAGCAACGTTTAAAATGCTAGCATCCAGCCTGATGGGAAGGGACCCTAAACCCTGAATACGTGCTGTTCAAGGGCTTATCCTTGACTTATGCTCGGCTTTTCCATGTGGGTCGAACTCTGAAACAGAATCTGAACATACCAACTAGGTCCTGTGGTGCCCTGTTACCCTCTTTTGTGAGAGGGTACCCCTACTAAAATAGACTGCAGAAAAAAAGGGTACCCTTATTCTCGCCTCTCTACTGGAGGACCTTGCCAAGGTTTGGGCGAAGGTTTGGGCCAAGGTTGTGGCAACTGATCAACACACCTTAGGCAAGTCTTTGGGTCCAGAGGTGTCCTTTTTCGGTTTGGCTAGAGCTAGAAGGCACTGGTTTAGGCCCCCCAGGGAAATTCATTCTTCTTTTCAATCACCAGCTGTTTCTCTGGGTTTTGATGGTTTCCTGAAAAACATCCTAGATTCAGAATGGAAGTGGAAGGTAGCCCCAGAACCTTACTTCCATTTGGTTAAGAATATTGTTATTTTCTCCTGTTGGTTTTCAAGGGAATCTATCACTGCTGGAAATATATATTTTTCCAGGGGACGGAGAAGCAAATGGAGCCTTAGGTAAGTCTTTGGTTTGGCTTGGATCGGTGGACAGGGGGCCTGACCTCCTGGTTCCAGGACCACGCCCTCGCTGGCCCCGCCCATCGCTTCCTTATGCGCGCACCTGGCGCAGTCCATGCCGCCGCTTGGTGAGACGCGCGAAGGACGCATGGTCCTCGTTTGAAGCGTCGGCGTCGGCGTCCCTTTTCGCCTTGGCTCAAAGGGCTAGGTCTTCCAGAAGTGTTTTGGTTGGGAGGGTTCCCCATACTAAAATAGACTACAGAAAAAGGGGTACCCTTATTCTAACCTCTCTATTGGAGGACCTAGTCTCTTTAGCACCAGCTGCAAGGCACAGGTTCCACAAGCCGTGAGACTTGCTTTGCGGCCCAGGCAGAACGCGGACAAGCGCCAGCTTCTGCAAAAGGCCGGGGCTGCCATAACTGGATGACCGCCCAGCAGCTGATGCTAAATAGCCCACAAGCTACCATGTGCTCAAGAATATGTTGTTTATTCTCCCTCATTGCTTTAAAGGGAATCTATCACATATGTTCTGTTTATTGTTCCAGGGGACTCGAGCAAATGGAGGTAGTTGCTTAGATACTGCAACGCAAACCAGAAGGAGCTGGGCATTTTGTCACTTTTCCGGGCATGTCAGCTTTGTGTTTTACACTTTCAACAGCAAGCTGGTGTCTGCGGAGAGCTTGCGTGTGGCCCGGTTGTTTCTTGGGGTGGTGCAGGTTCAGGCTCCGTTACTGTTGCAACTGCGGGCGGAAGAAGTTTTGTGCGGCTGATGCGTTTGCGACATCAGACAAAGCTGGCATTGGCGTCTGGAGGGTCCTGCCTGGCTGCGAGCTGCGCGCGGAGCGTGCCCAGTAGTTTCAGTTGCAGCTTGACACCGTGTCCTCGCCTCCTTGGTTTCGTATCCGGAGTTGCAATTTCAGCTTGGCACCGTCGCCTCCTTGGTTTCGTTCAAAGGAATCCGGCTTGCGCAGGTGTATTGCAGCGCTGGAATGCTTGGTGCAGGTGGTTCTCCTGCTTTGTGCGCAAAAGATGCGCAGTTGGCGCCTGGCTGTGCCTGGCTGCGCCTGGCTGCGCCACAGTGCTCATGTCGCAGTGTTGCGACAACCAGCGTACTACGGCCGCAGCGTGCAAGATGCTTTCGCTGTCCCAGCCTTTGGACTCTGTGCTACAGGCGCTTGGGTATTACTGTTCCAAGTTTGGGCTGATGCTTCAGTTCCATGTTGCCAGCGAAGCTTGGATTATGCAGCCTTGCTCGAGGAGCTTGGCGTTGCAGTGATGCTTCCACGCGAGTGGGCGTTGTGTCATGCCTGAGAGTTGCTGCACCAGTGGCCCACCTCTCAGGCATCGCCTTCCCCCATTGCTTGCCCTGCCAGCGCAGAGCTTGTTGCGCGAGGCCAGCGCAGAGCTTGTTGTGTGGCCGGTGCAGAGTTTGTTGTGTTGAGGGTGGGTGTGGCAGTTGTTGCCTGCTTTTTAGTCACAAGCCCAGTGCTTGTCTGGTTGTGGGGGCAGCTGAGAGCAGTGGGGGGGTTGGATCTGCTGGCCAGCTGTGCATGCGTTGACCATGCGTGAAAATGGGTTCAGTTGTGCGTTTTGGGTGGTCAAAGATTCACATGGGCGATGAATGGGACAACGGGTTTTGTTAATCCACAGTATCCCTGTCCCCCTTCCGTGGGTGTGGAGAAAGTCAGCCACTCAGGCGAGCGACTCAGCACGCGAATTTTGTAGAATTGGACGTCGTGTCAACTGGGTAGTGAGTACAATGTCTTCATGCACGTTTTGTCCAAGTATGGGGGATAGGTCGCCCAAAGCGTGGCACTGTCTCATTAATTCGCAGTTCGCATCCTGACCCAACAAAGGCAGAAGCAGCCACTCTGTTTTTGCGATTTCATAGGCGTGTTCAGGAATCCAGGAAAGCGACGGTGGTTCCCTGAATATCGCAAGTGCCCTGTAAATCATCCAGTCCGTGCCTGGTATACTTGTAACTTGTTGGGAGTTTACTTCAGAGACTTTGGGGCAAAGTCCAATTCCTGGTTTGTGATGGCCTGTTTGTACACAGACGCTCTGGCCTTGCAAGTCTAATGCTTGCTGGACTGTGATTTCAAGGCATTGATTCCCTGTTGTGGATCGACAAAATCCTGCACCACCTCAGACCCAAGAATGATGATCCGCATGCAAACAATCAATGGTTTCCCATAGTTTGACACATCCTATATTTTGTGAATGTGCCCTCAAACACAGCAAGCAGGGGATAGATGTGTTTCCACAACCCCTATTTGTCACCTGTGTGTGGTGCATGTTATAGTTGGAAGTTGTGGTTGTTTTTGCCTTTGAGACTGCTTTGTTGGAAAGTAGCATGGTCCCCCCTAAACCTGAACGTTTCACTTTGGGAGGTGGTTTCCCTTCCAGCCACATAGAGGGTACATAAAAAGATGTTGTTCCAAGGGCCAGCTCAGAAGTCCAATCAAGGTGTGGACTCCAGGTCCGCTTGGCTTTTTACCCGGGAGGAGGTGAGTTTTTTTAGCGGTTCCCCTTCAAGAACCAACCAACCATGGTTTCCCAATCCACAGTACGTGTTGACCAAAATTAGGTAAGTTTGTTTTTGCGGTGAAGTTCAAAGGGTGAAAAATTGGGGAGCCCGCAGCGTTTGTCGCAGGCCACGCACTTGCTGGAGCCCATCAAAGAAGAGCACTTCGGCCTCTATGCCATGACAGCGCTGGAGCTGGCGTCGGGAACCTGAGCCGACAGCCGACACGTCTGGCATCTTATGGTGTGCTTGTGTGTGTGTCTGGTGTGGTGTGTGGTGTGTGTGTGTGTCTCTGTGCGTTTTGTGTCTCGGTGTTCTTGTGTGTCTCTGTCTCTCTGTGTCTCTCTGTGTCTCTGTGTGTGTGTGTGTGTGTGTGTGTGTGTCTGTGGTGAGTCTCTGTGTGTCTCTGTGTGTGTCTCTGTGCGTGTCTCTGTGTGTTTGTCTCTGTGTGTTTCTCTGTGTGTGTGTCTCTGTGCGTCTGTCTGTGTGTCTCTCTGCTTCTCTCTGTGTTTTTCTGTGTGTCTCTGTGTGTTGATGTGTCTTTCTGTGTTTGTGTCTCTGTGGCTGTGTGGCTCTGTGACCCTTTGACTCTGTGACTCTCTGTGAATCTGGCTCTGTGACTCTCTGTGAATCAGTGACTCTCTGTGACTCTCTGTGAATCTGTGACTCTGTGACTCTGTCACTCTCTGTGTCTCCGTGTCTCTGTGTCTCCGTGTCTCTGTGTCTCTGTGTCTCTGTGTCTCTGTGTGTCTGTGTGTCTGTGTGTCTGGGTCTCTGTGTCTCTGTGTCTCTGTCTGTGTGTGTGTGTCAAAATAGGGCGACCAAGAACATGGTGGTGATCCTTTTGCTTCCCAAAAAACATTTCCTTCAAAGTAAGGGACGGCCATCGCGCGAACAACCAGGACCTGATTCGGCCCTTTCTAAACGGAGCTTGCGGAAGTAAAAGTGGGCGGTTTAGAGATGCTAAAACAAAGGCTTTGCCCAGCCCTATCCTGGCGCTTAAGTCCCTAATGCGAGTTCTGTGTGTGCAAATACCCTTAAACATTTTCCGGGAATTCAACCGCTTATAAAGTGAGGCGGTCACCCAAGTACTCCCCGCATGCTCAAAACAGTTTTTGGGGATTCTGAGCGGTTTTGCAATATAATTTACTGCTTGTTTACCTAGTACGCCACTGTATTTCATTTCCAGGTCCTTTAAAATCCATTTGAAACCATGAGAAACCAAACATGTTTGTTGGTATGTAGAAGGGAATCTCATTCCTGGGTGGTGCGAAACGGAATTTCGGTATGGAAGCTGGCGGATGGTATGTGAACTCTTAGATATGGGGTGTGGCATCGAGCCAGCTGGTGATGAATGCGGAGGTTGTTCTCATCCGGCTGAAAACAGCAAACAACAATTAAGATATAAAGGAGGCTTCCTTGCCAGTTAGCGGCTTTGTCTTTTCCTGCTTGGATGTCCTAGAAGCCGAGTGGTCAGCTGCAAGCTCAATCATGGTGACATGGCATGCGCATCAAGACTGGGTGCATCTTGGTTTCGCAGCCCATGGGGGTTGATCAAAGAGTTTACATGGGGTGACGTATTGGCTAGGTCCCCCAGCTAGGTGCCCGACCTCTCACCCATTTTTTTGGTTGGGAGGGTTCCCCTACCAAAAGAGACTACAGAACAAAGGGTACCCTCATTCTAGCCTCTCCACTGCAAAACCCAGTTGGGGAACACCACGAAAAGCACGAAATGGGAAATGTCACCCATGATCCTTTTGGGGCGCCGGGAATTCTCCTCAATCCTCATATATTGTCACAGTGTTGGTAGAACCACAAGCAACTGGGTGAATTTAACGACCTCACACGACCTCACCCCAATGGTGGAAAATGTGGGGAGTAGCCCCCCAACCACCTTATTTCAGGTGGCTGAAATATTATAGCTCACCCAGAAGTAAAGTTTTGAGCGATGAAACAGTCTGAGGTGTTCGTACATGCGGACGCCACTGGCCGCGATCAGCGATAAGGGGGAAGCCTCGCGCCCACAAGGACCTACGAAGGGCTTGGCCGAGGGCTTGTGCAGTGACTTTCAAGAGGGGTTTGGTCAAGGCTCGTTTTTTCAAAATGCATGAGATGTTGCCCTGGTCTCCGCAGAACGGAGTTCCAAAATCCCGTGGACCTTCTAATTAAACGAGTGTATGTTGGGGGCCATGTCTGGCTTTCTGAAAATTTGGTGGTTGGCGGCTCTAAAGGCAAACCAAACTGAAAGCCAACTTGTGTGGAAATTCCCTATTTTAAGACACCAAGCGGCTATGTTTGGGCCATTTGAATGGCATGACCCGGTGTTTTCGAATGCGTGTTAGGTTGGGTATTTGTTGTTGTCCTATGTTTGAGCTGGTTTTTAGGGGGAAACAAACCAATCCAAAGAAGCGCCAAATCAAAGGAGTCGATGGAAGCTTCTGTACGGTGTTTATCATGTTTGAGGTTGGCCCAACTTTCCCATGTCCAAGCATCCCAGGCGAGTCTGAGAGCATCTGCAGGCTCCAGAACATCGCGGTTGGGATATATATAGAACCTGGGATGTGATTGAGGACGTATTATCTATATAAGTGGATGTGAACTTAAATTGGTCCCTTGACTCTTTGGTGGACATCAGAAAGAAAGGTGGAGATCATGTCCACCCACTGAGGCGGTTCTCTGGTTCCCTATCGAAACTCATGTCCCGTGCCACTTCATTTCACGCGGATTCGACGAGGACGGGACCCCCCACCCGCGGCACGACTGTCGGTGGCTATGCGCTATTTGGAAAGCGCGGCTCGGCAGATGTTTCGCAATGCAAGTTCAGCTTGGCAAGGCTACCAAGTCTTGCCATTCCAGGCGCAGCCTTTCTCCATTATCATCGAACGACTTCGTGATTTAATGACTCAGTTGCTTCAGTTTAGAAGTAGAATCCGGTGGCAACCATTGGATTCCCCCCCCTCCCCGTTCAATCTTCGCACAGCTTCTAGCAGCAGGCTAGGTTTTGTGGGAGCGCCCACTTAAAATGAAAGTGTTGCTGCTGTTTTGTGCTTGGGCCTCTCGATTGTGGCTGGTTTTGGGGCCTATAAGGAAAGAGTTGCATCGAGCCAATATAAAGTCAATCATTTGCAGCGGTCCATTTCGAGCCACACACCTACCACTCCAACCAAGCACCCAACCTTGCGAACCCGCCGGTTTGGAGCGACCTTAATCTTGCGTTGGTTGACCCCTTTGTACAGTTACGACTCCCCCCACAAGAGGCAGAGGGCACAAATATACTTGGGTTGCAACGCCCTTTTTCCTTGGGGGAATCACGGCACGGCGTTCAATTGTCCTCTTTTCCACAATCATGGAAGATGACGCCTGGGAATGGTGGGTGCCTGATCAAATTTCTAGGGGGAGCCAATGTAACCAGTGGTCAGCATACGCTGCCGCCGTGCCGCACAACAGTTTGACCTCTCACGCTTGCATGGTGTTGCTTTCAATATGTTCATAAATCTTTGGCACTGTGGCACTGGTTGTCAAATTGGAGACAGAGCAGTCGGGCCGGTGTTGAAGGCACATGACAACCCTTGCGGTTTGCGCTTGATCAGGCTTAATTACGACGCTTCCCCACTCCGCAGACGTTTGTCAGAGTCCTAAAGTCTCAGTCAAATATTTGTTCTCCTTTCCATTTCTCCTTTAACAACCAGCCCCAAAGTGCGGGTGTCTTTTGTGCCCCACAAACGGGGATGTTCTGGTTTCGTGCGGATTCTTGCGACGCTTCTCTCCAAAAAGCAACACGCGCCAAACGAGGTGTCCATTTTTCACAAGCGCAAAACTCGGGGCAAGCAAGGTCTCAGGGACTGAGCCACGTGCGCCCAGAATCAGGATGATTCCCTTTGTGGCCATTTTGGGGTAGGTGAATTCACCACCCATTTTAGCCTAGGGGATTGGTTGACGTTCACCGGGGCTACGATTTGGATTTTGACCCATGGCCATTTGAATTCGTTAGGAAGTGGGCAGACCCCTTGGAATTGCAGTACAGCTGATTACCGGACCGAAAGTCATCTCCTGTATACCCATTTGGGCATGCCACATCTGGAGCCCAACCCTTTCCTTAGAATGTTGGGTGGAGATGACATACCTCACTACTCACCAGTTCATGAACTTTTCCTACTTTTGGGGAATACCATTTTCGTGGTAATACAAAGTTTGTCGACTTGTTTCGACCAATCCACTCGTTCGGAAGTGAGGACCTTTAGCAGGGAATCAAGCAATCACCAAGTTTGCGGTTGGCACGATTGTTAGGTGTGTGGAAAGGGCCATCAAGTGGAACGCCCTAAAGTTAATTTATTTACCCAAGCTATTGCCTGGTTTACCCAAGCCATATGGCAGGGGCAAAGCGCAGCAAGTACTTGGCAGATGACCGGCAATCAGGTTGCCCGAAATCTGGCGGGTCAAAATGTGCAGATTCCGGAGCACTTCGAACCATGCAATGCTCAACCTCACCGAGTCGGGGGTCAGGTGAAAGTGTAGCTCCAAACAATTCAACACATTCCCGTGTGGTTTCTTAAAAGATATGAATCGCTGCCACCTTTGATTCCTGACAGCTCGAGCTAGTCAGCAACCTCTCAAACCCACTCAATCACAAAACCATGGGCGTTGTTTTTCTTTGCGGCTTTAAATATGTATGGTCACCCACCCCCCAGAGCCTACCTTTCCTCTCAACTAGAAGGAGGGGGGTTGAGCATACACATATGTATATATATGAGTTAGCATCAAAATTACCGTCATTTACTTTATGTAGGAGTGTTTCATGCACGCTGGCTCATATATATATATATATATTTATAAAACTATCGGGGGCGTCCACGGGGGCGTCCACCCTCGCATCCCCGGAGTCCAGCTTGACGCTTGGTTTCACTGAGGTGCTTCGGCTGTTGGCCAGCCTCGATGAAAGCTCCCTGCGCGCCGGGCTGCTGCTTCAAGCGCAGGCCTCGAGTCCTTGGACGGTGGTTGGGGGATTTAGAGCCAAAAAGATCAAGGTGTTGGGGATTTAGATGCGGAATTTTCTCCAAAAAGCTCATGGTTTCGTTTTTTTGTAAATCAGACGGTTTTGGGGTTTGGGTGGACTGTTGGGTTTCCTGGCATCACACGGCCAGCTACAACCTTGGTGGACGGTTTTCGTTGGGGGACTTATGCAGGAATGTATGGAAGGGCTACCATCTAAACGGCTAATTGGACTTTTTAGCTGACCCCCACCAAAAGGTCATCACACGGCCAGCTAACATCCAATTCCGCCTTGTATGGAAGGGGTACCATTTACCGGAGTGCATTCTTTTCCGGGAAGAAGATGGGGCATGGGCTGGATTTCTATTTGTAGGCAGCTCCCTTCAAGAATATTCAACAAACGATGGCCCCTTTTGCCACGTGACGGGTTCCACACTTGAAGATGAGAACGTGGCGGGGTGTTCCGGCGTTCCGGCGTTCTGGAGGTAGCGTATGCGGAGTGCATCATCAAGCTGGTGCGTGAGGCGCGAGTCTGAATTGTTGACATGCTTTGGACACCACAGCTCCGAAACTTCCGGACACAAATGGCTTTTCCAGCATGGGTTGTCTTCCAACCCCGTACCTTGCTGGTGTGAGACTTGGGCAAAGGATGCCATATCGTCGCGTTCTCAGCATGCTGGGCAGATGATCGCGACATCACTAGCAGTCCTTTCTTGAATGTCCTTTATTTTCAGTTGTTTTTTTTTCTCCGCAGAAATTATGTATGCAGATGTATGAAGGTTGCTTGCCAAGAGTCATTATTTTCAAGAAAACGCTGGTGAGTTTTCACTGAGTAGCAAGACGACCCAGGCGTAACATAACCAGGGGCATGCTGGAAGACGTGAGGGGGTCAACGGGGTGCGCAGTAAAAGCTGCTTTCTCTTTCGTTTCCGCAACCAACCTGAACCTCAAGAACAACCAGAGCCACATGTATTCCTTAAGTTGCACCTGGTGTGCTCCATGTTCCGGCAGCACATGACCAGAATCCGAGCCGCACTTAGGGTGCAGAGCCAGCTGAAGAGTTGCCAGGGTTTGGGGCTCCCTTTGTTGTGTCTGCACTTGCCGGGGGGGGGGGGGGGAATGGGGGATGGGGGAACTGAACTGAGTCGTGTCACTCGTGCTTCCTTTTGCGTCTCACAGGGAAAACCCGAAGGAACTTCCTTGGCACAAGGTCAGGTTTAGGCCCAGGTAGGTCAGGCGGGGCCTGGGTAGGGCAGGCAGAGTAGGGTAGCGTAGGTGGCACTGTGGATGGACGAAATCCATTTCGCACCACCTAAGAAAATCTGGAATGTTGATTCCCCTGTAAATACCAACAAACAATGATGTCTCAGGATTGCTTAGGCGGTGCTGACAGGTTGGGTAGGGTTTGGTAGTTCTTCTGCGAGGCGGGAGTGCCAACCTACAGCGCCTGGCTGGCGGAGGTGCAGCAAAGTGCCCAGGACACCCGTCCGAGGGTCCGTCCGTTTCTTCTGGGCGTCAATTGGGACGCTTTGCATCCCCATTCCGCTTGGGGAAAAGCATGGAAGCCCTCCCTCCATACCATTATTATCTTGTACCGGGAAATTGTTCCAAGGAATTGTCCTTGCAGCTGGGCCATAATGAAACGGTTACCAGCAGCTTACTCACTTGGCGAATCGAACACCCAAGTAGGCGTTGTTTTGCAACGCGCGTAGCAGTGTCTGCAGAGCCAAATGAGGAGTGTAGATACGGGATCAATAAGCGGCAACTACTGTGGACGGACGAAATCCTGTACCACTTCAGAATCCCTACAATGATCATTCCCCTGTAAATACCAACAAACAATGTGTTCTCATGATTTCAAACTGGTGCAGGATCCACAGTAAGACTGGAAACATGTTTGACAAAGCCAGACCCCTTAAAAGCGCCTAGCAAGCATCACCTTTTTGGAAAAAAGGGCGCTCTTAGCCAAGACCAGTTTAACTTGAGAAGCCATCTTGGTGGATTTACACGCAGCATACATGACAACAAGGGTTGTTGTTGAAAAGGGATATACAAGGAACTCTGCAAAGCCGGTGACTGAACCCCCCCGAGAATGGGCATCCACGAGAGGGGAGCATGCCCTTTCCTCGGAACAAATACTTGCCGGCCGGTTGGTTTATTCTTTGATGTTTTCAGTTTGTGAGAAAGAATGGGGAACACACGCAAAGGTCCCCCAGTAGTGCCCTTTTGCCAACTTTTTTGGTTGGGAGGGTTGCCCTACTAAAATAATCTACAGAAAAAAGGTCCCCTTATTCTAACCTCTCTACTGGAGGAAGACACGCAAAGGTCCAAGTAGATGATGTTTGTAGTTCCGGTCCCACCTCGTGTGGTGAGCGATGTCCTTCTCCGTTGCTTGGGCGAACAGAACAAGGAGAAAAATCAACTTATTTCAGAATGGGTGAGACCCACACACTGGTGGTTTTCCTTTTGGTTTCCTTCTAGAACGACACCCTCAATCTTGGCGGTTCCCAGCTGTCCGGTTCCTTAGTTGTTTAGTTGTTTGTAGTTGGTTTAGTGGTTGGGTGTCTATTTAAGACCCAAGTTGAAGACTTTGAGCAGGGAGTCAGAAAACGGACAGCCCAGCAATCAAAGACAGGGCACGCTCCAAAAAAACGACACCCATATAATATAGGTGTGTGTTTTTTTGCTCGGGGAAGGCCTTTTCCGTTGGTGTCTTCTTAGAACCGTCAAAGGGTCCGACAGGAACAACTGCAGGACATGGCCCCAAAACACCCTAAAAGATAGCCGTTCTCCTGTCGAATTTCCTGTAACCTTCCATTTGCTTGAGAATATGCTTTATTTGCCCCTGTTGGTTTTAAAGGGAATCTATCACTACCGAATATATTTTTGCGCATGGGTCTCAACCAAATGGAAGTATCCCAGCCCCAAGTCGGCGCCCTCCAAGCGAAATCGCCGGGTCGTCAGCTGAAAGGACCTGCAAAAGCAGGGCGCCGGGGCGGCGGCCCAAAAGCAGCCACGAGCTCGGCGCGAGCGCGCGAGCTCGTAGGTCTGCACTGGTCTAGGGGTACCGTCCCCACTCTTTCCAGGCATCCTTCTTTCTAAAATATCACCCAAAAGCCTGGGAAACAGCTGGTTTTTGAAAAAGAATCATGGTTGAAAAGAATGGGGAATCAACCCCTAGAACTAAACTGTTCTTGGCAGGTTTTGGATGGGCATAGATCAAACTTCAAACACCAAGAATGCACCGCAGTTTGAGTCCATGTTTCCATTTACCATGGCAAGCCACTTTGGGTACCTTTCTTTGACCCACACCCAGAGTCTTCAGCTTTTGGTCTTCTATGTCTTCTGGATTTTTAGTCGGGGGCGGCAAAAAACCTAGTTTTGTGCTTTGCGGGGTGCCAGCAATAGACCGGAACAGCGCTGGAATTTTGTTTGCCATGTTGGGCTCCCAAATCTCGGTTGTTGGGGCCAGAATTTGTCAGGGTCCCTAGAAATGGCCGCGGAGGAAGTTCAGATTGCCCCTTTTGGCGAAAGAAAATCAGTGAGCTTCCACTTGGTGACGTTTCAAGGGGAGATAGAGAGTTTGTTGTTCAAGCCGAGGAAGCAAACTCCAAGGTTTCAGGGCCAAAGGGCTCCTATGGAATTGGTTCCGTTTGTTTGTCCTTTTTTTGTTTTTTCCCGCTTCTTGGCTTTTTGGTTTCTCGTCTTCTTGGCTTTTCGGCTTCTCGCTGGTTTATGCGGCTTTTGGTGGCTTTTTGGCTTTGGCTGTTCGCATCCACTGCATTCCCAGTTCCTTTTCGGCAGGTGGCGTTTTGGCTTTTGCGGCTTTTTGCTGGTTTATGCGGCTTTTGGTGGCTTTGGCTTTTCGCATCCTCTGCTTTCCCAGTTCCTCTCCGGGCTTTTTGGCTTCTGCACGCTTTCATTGGTTTTTGGCCATCACTTCTTCGAACATCATACAGGGGCTTCCCCCCCCCAACCCATTTAGTTGTTTGCAGAGATGTAATTGCACCCCTAATTGCACCCTTATGTGCATCATCACTTCTGCAAACATCATGCCCCCCCCAACCCCCCGCTACTTTTTAGATTTCTTGGAGAGATTTAGTTGCACCCCTACTTGAATCATCACTTTTTCGAGCATCATATTTCGCAAGAACATGCTGTAAAATACAACATTCTATGTAATCTATGTATGTCTGTGCGTGTGTATGCACTTCTTCGAACATCATAGAGGAAGCCACCGTCGCCAACCCTCCTGTTGCTTTTTTATTCTACCGCACCCTTTCTTGAATCATTGCACCCCTATTTGAATCATCACTTCACCTTCCGTTACTTTTTAGATTTTCTACAGAGGTTTAATTGCACCCCTATTTGAATTATCACTACTTCGAACATCAGGGGGGGTCCCTACCTTGTTTTGCACCTAATTCAGTATGTTGCCCCAATGTTGGCAGTCACTCATATGGCCATGGGTCAAAATCCCGTACCCCCAGTGAACATCCCAATCCCCACCAAAATAGAAAAAAAGGGTGGTGCCGCTCAAAGGTGGCCGGAGAAAAGTTGAATTGTAGGGTAGGGGGGGGAGGTTGTGTAGTTTTGGACGGGGGTTTTGGCGTAGGGTTCCCTCCATGTGTCTATTTTGGAGGTTGAGCGCATCACCCTGCAAGCGCAAATTTGTCTAATTTAGCTGCTGTTTGCATGGCTTATGGGGCGGACTGGGGGGGCAGGGAGGGGGGGTGTGATGTCAAGGTTCGGCTGTCGCGCTGTTTTTTTTGGCGCAAGTTTATGGAACACCCTGGCTTGTTTTGCGGTGGCTGCCGAGTCGGGTCATTTCTTGTTCGGCTCAATGTGAGCGCCATGGATGCGCATGCTTTTGAAGTGTCTTTTTCTCCTGCGTTTGTTCTGCTTTTGCGTTTGGCTTGCGTTCCTCCCCAAACCGTCCCTGGTATTTGGACCATCATCTTGACGTTTTCTGCATCATTTCACGTGGAGATCCTGTGCTTGAGTTCGCATTTCTTGCTTCCATTGATTCCGATGTGCTTCACTTCTTTGACTGAACAACCTCCTTCGCTTGCGTCCGCCTGGTCACGTTTGCACTGTTGGTGGCTACCTTGCCCCTGCTTTGACTGCTTCTGCCTTTGTTTTGTCTCGACGCCGCACCAATTCGAGGCTGGGGTCCTTGGTGGCGGATTTTTGATTTTCCAGTGGCGCTTTCGTATTCGGCCGCAGATGTCAGCAGTCTGATTCCAATACGAGCTGGAAAGGCTTGTCGAAAGCAGTTTGGTGCAAAATGTTGGACTTCCAAAACGTGCGTTGCGCAAGAGAAAAACAGTGCCCGCTGCGAATCGCACTGTAACGCCGACCCTTGAAACCACCACGGCCGTCTACACTTCGCCAAAAAAAGGTCACGGAGTGAAGGAGGCCGTGAACCACGTAGTTTGTAAGACCTTTACACACAGGCGCCCCCAACGGCTGCTGTTTCTCATGCAGATAACCCCAAGTCCCCAAGCGCTGTTCAACAAGCGGTTGTTGGGCATCCGAGGCTCACTGAGATGAAGCAGCTGAGCGCCGCCTTTCTGCAAGCGCCTTAGAGACAGAGCAGTAGCTTGCCTTGTTGCCTTGTTGCGCTTGCTTCATGTTGCTTGTGTTGTTTTTTGGGCTGTTGTGTTTGTTGTCAGTGTGGCTTGTTGGTTGTTGGTTGTTGCCTGTTGGTTGTGGGTTGCAGTTGTTCTGGGTTATTGGTATTTGTTGTTTGGTTCTTGGTTGTTGTTTTTTGTTTTTGTTGTTCTCGTCATTGTTGTTGGTGTTTGTGGCGTTTGTTGTTGTTGGTTGTTGTTGTTGTTGTCGTTGTTGTTGTTGTTGTTGTTGTTGTTGTTGTTGTTGTTGTTGTTGTTGTTGTTGTTGTTGTTGTTGTTGTCGTTGTTGTTGTTGTTGTTGTTGTTGTTGTTGTTGTTGTTGTTGTTGTGGTTGTGGTTGTGGTTGTTCTTGTTCTTGTTCTTGTTATTGTTATTGTTCTTGTCCGTGTCCTTGTCCGTGTCCTTGTCCCTGTCCCTGTCCTTGTCCTTGTTCTTGTTATTGTTCCTGTACTTGTTCTTGTTGTAACTGTAAGCGTAAGTGCAAGTGTAATTTAAGTGTAAGTTATTGTTGTTGCTGTTGTTGTTGCTGTTTGTGGTGTTGTCCTTGTTGTTGTTGTTGTTGTTGTTGTTGTTGCTGTTGATGTTGTGGTTTCTGTTGCTGGCGTGGCCGTTGTTGTTGTCGTTGTCGTTGGTGTTAGTGTTGGTGTTGGCGTTGTTGTTGGCGTTGTTGGCGTTGTTGTTGGCGTTGTTGGCGTTGTTGGCGTTGTTGGCGTTGTTGGTGTTGTGTTTGTTTTTGGCGTTGCTGTTGTTGTTGTTGCTGCTGCTGCTGCTGCTGCTGTTGTTGTTGTTGTTGTTGTTGTTGTTGTTGTTGTGGTTGTGGTTGTGGTTGTGGTTGTTCTTGTTCTTGTTCTTGTTCTTGTTCTTGTTCTTGTTCTTGTTCTTGTTCTTGTTCTTGTTCTTGTTCTTGTTGTTGGTGTTGTTGTTGTTGTTGTTGTTGTTGTTGTTGTTGTTGTTGTTGTTGTTGTTGTTGTTGTTGTTGTTGTTGTTGTTGTTGTTGTTGTTGTTGTTGTTGTTGTTGTTGTTGTTGTTGTTGTTGTTATTGTTATTGTTCTTGTTCTTGTTCTTGTTCTTGTTCTTGTTCTTGTTGTTGTTCTTGTTGTTGTTCTTGTTGTTGTTCTTGTTGTTGTTCTTGTTGTTGTTATTGTTGTGCTTGTTGTGCTTGTTGTTGTTGTTGTTGTTGTTGTTGTTGTTGTTGTTGTTGTTGTTGTTGTTGGTGTTGTTGTTGTTGTTGTTGTTGTTGTTGTTGTTGTTGTTGTTGTTGTTGTTGTTGTTGTTGTTGTTGTTGTTGTTGTTCTTGTTCTTGTTCTTGTTCTTGTTCTTGTTCTTGTTCTTGTTCTTGCTCTTGCTCTTGCTCTTGCTCTTGCTCTTGTCCTTGTCCTTGTTCTTGCTCTTGTTCTCGTAGTTTGTCCTGTTGTGGTTGTTGTCCTGGTTGTTGGCTGTTGGTTGTTGGTTGTCTGTCTGTGTGTCTGCCTGCCTGCTTGCCTGCCTGCCTGCCGGACTGTCTGCCTGCCTGCCTGCCTGGCTGGCCGGCTGGCTGCCTGCCTGGCTGGCTGGCTGGCTGTCTGTCTGTCTGTCTGTCTGTTTGTCTGTCTGTCTGTGTGTCTGTCTGTCTGTCTATCTTGTTTTTGCGTTTGTGTATGTGTTAGTTGTTTTTGATTGTTTTTTGTTCTGTTTACTTGTGCTCTTGTTTGTTGTTTGTTTGACTGTTTGTTTGTTTGTTTGCTTGCTTGCTTGCTTGCTTGCTTATTGGTTCGTTCGACTGTTTGTCCAATAGCTTGGTTGTTTAAACCTTCCTAAGGTCAGCTTCGCAGTGGGTTGACCTAACACACCTTTCTGTTCTTCCATGATGGTTTCCCACATGTTCGTCACGTTTCCAGGTCCTTCGGCTACAATTAATTATGCAAATGTGTGCCTGCGTATGTGTGCGTTTTGTGTGGAGGGTACCCATTTCGTTTTTCGTTTGACCCTCCAAAGCGTATCCAGATGCGTGGCTTCCCTCTGGTTTGCCAGGGCTCCTTAAAAGATACATTTTGCAACCATTTGAAACATGTTGCTTTTCCAACACCAAATAAAGGGACACCACCATTGGCAAGGCAATGTTCAGGTGTATAATGTAAGGATCCCTGTTTCCCTCTTAGGCCGACTGCCAGTAGGGTAGCCGCAAGGCTGTGGCGGCTCTTCTGGCTTTGCCGGGCCCAGCGGGCCATGTCCTTCCTGGCAGCGGAGAAGCGCGAGGCAGGGGAAACGATGGGGTTTGAAGCCTCACTCCCTGAGTTCCTGGACTTTAGTCACTTTTTGGTCTTGGACCATTTTAGTGGTACAACCAACAGTTTGGGTACTTGTTTTGGCCAATCCACTGAGGAAGTAGCCTGGTCAATAAGGTTCCTTGGGGATACTCTCATGGACGAAAGTA